CCACAACTAACTAGTACATTTGAAATGCAAGCATGAAAACCTTTCAAGTCCGTCGCGAATATTGGCTATGACTGATCGAAACAGTCTTTTACGTATCCAGTATGTGGGTTAATTGTGAATTATTGCAGCCATGGTATTGTGACTTGTTTTTCGTGTGTATGTTGCAGCCATGGTATTGTGATTTGTTCTTCATGTATATGTTGCACCCATGATATTTCGACTTGTTCTTCGTGTAATGTCAGAGGATCTCACCTTCAAAGACAACAACAATGTATCTACCTTATCCGCTAGGAAAATGATAGGATGGATAATGAGAACCTTCAAAACTAGGGACGCCAAGCCCATGATTCTCTTCAAATCGCTTGTGCCCTCTAGGCTGGAATATTGCTGTACACTAACGGTCCCCTTTCAAAGCTGGCGGCATTGCAGACCTGGAGAGTGTACAAAGAACTTTCACGGCACACATAAGTACGATAAGGCACCTAAACTACTGGGAACGGTTGAAAGTTCTTGATCTGTATTCCCTCGAACGCAGGCAAGAGAGATAAATGATAATATACACTTGGAAGGTCCTGGAGGGATTGGTACCAAACCTGCACACGAAAATCACTCCCTATGAAAGCAAAAGACTCGGCAGGAGATGCAACATTCCCCCGATGAAGAGCAGGGGCGCCACGAGTACATTGAGAGATTACACAGTATGTGTCCGGGGCCCCCGACTGTTCAATTGCCTCCCAGCATTCATAAGGGGGATTACCAATAGACCCCTGACTGTCTTCAAGAAGGCACTGGACAGGCACCTAAAGTCAGTACCTGACCAACCGGGCTGTGGTTAGTACGTTAGCTTGCGTGCGGCCAGCAGTAACATCCTGGTTGATCAGACCCTGATCCACCATGAGGCCTGGTCTCAGACCGGACCGCGGGGGCGTTGACTCCCGAAACTCTCTCCAGGTAAACTCCAGGTGTATATTGCAGCCATGGTACTTGGTCGTGTGTGTTGCAGCCATGGTATTTTGATTTGTTCTTCGTGTATGTTGCAGCCATGGTATTGTGATTTGTTCTTCATGTGTATGTTGCAACCATGGTATTGTGACTTGTTCTTCGTGTATGTTGTAATCACGGTATTGTGACTTGTTTTTCGTGTGTATGTTGCAGTCATTGTATTGTGATTTATTCTTCGTGTGTACGTTGCAGCCATGGTATTATGATTTGTTCTTCATGTGTATATAATGTAGCTTCACCTCTCGCCTCCACACGTGCAAGAGAGTCCACCTGACTCAAACAACATGAAGTTTTCTGTGAATATTTATAGAATTCTGGGAATTAGAGCTGCGTTCAAAGGGCGTTCATTTCAGAGACATGGATGGGTGCCCGTTCATGCCAGGTTATCAAGGGAGTGCCTTGATGCTGGTGAAAAGTTCTTGATTCTAAGGAATAGGAGCTACCCTCCTTTTTTCTGATTTACCTCTTTTCCGTGATTATGATGATAATTTGCCTTACAACTAGTCACTCTTCCTCTTTCTCTCTATGGTTGGATGGTTAATTGGGTTGATGACTAAGCTAAACTAGTATAAAGAGAATGTAGAATATAATTTTGGTTTCTCAAACAGATGTTTTAAAAAAAATCACCAGAAAAGAGCTAGCTGGTGCGGTTTAAGAAGGTAAAACAGTGCAGATAGGAACTAGCAGGTCCATTGCCCATCATATTGAAATGTGTCTCGTAAAACATGTGATAAATGGTTTTGAAAACCGACAAGCTGAAGATTTGGGAATCTTTATTAGCGAAACGTTTCGCCACACAGTGGCTTCATCAGTCCAATACAAAGAAGAGCGGTGGAAAAATAGTAGTAGTTTGAGGTAATCAGTTCCTCATCCCGGAATCGATGTGTTCAATCTGTCAGTCTTAAAGATTGATGGTCTGAATACACCGTAAAGATTCCAAAATGTTACACAAGTGTCTCAAGCAAAACATGTTGATAAATAAGACATGCAACACCTGAATATCTTAATTATGAAGGTGGTTCGCCAACCAGGGGATTTTTCATTTCGATAGTTTACTGATACGTGAAGCGTCTTTATAATAGGGATACCCAGGTGTTCCACGTGTCGTATCAACTTGTCGATATGTATACCAGTAATGTAATTACTATAACATATTAATGGAGAAACTAACAAACTCAGTAAACAAGACGTTGTTTACCGAGTACAGTTTTTATGGCTATGTCAGTGATATGAAATATGTGTGTGGACAGAGACGGGACCACACACAAGAACATAATATTTTAGTGCATGTACTAGGATGTTTTTTGTATTCAAACATCCAACCATTTAAAGACAGACTCTACAGGAAAAGGCAAATCACTTTATTGTTGATGATAGTCTGAAAACTTCAATGAAATTGCATCCATATTTTTCACCGGCTAGGTGACTGAACCCAATAATTGTAACCTAATAATGGCCAATGCTTTTTAGTGGTAATGATAAGATAATGATTGTGTTGCGATTTTATCTACACATTGTATCGTGTATATTAGCTTAGTGAAGAAACTGCAGTATGTAAAATGACTGGTAGTAATTTTTATAGATGTAACTATGCCTAGCGGCGTTACCACTCACGGGGTAAGCTGCAGTTGCACAATAAAATATTCGTTCAGGAGGCACAAAGTAAAAAGAAAGTACGTATATACTTCCTCTACCATATTCCCTTCACCCCCCTCCACTTCACCTCGTAGCTACACGACCTTGCTTAGTCGGGTAATTAATGTTTACCTAACACCTGCAGCGGCTAAAACACCTGTGCTCATCTACGGCTTAATACAAACACTTGCGACTGCTCGCAAGCTCCTGGGCACACGCCTGGCCAGTCCACGTCCAGTGTTCAAATGTTCATGAGTTTCTGCGTTCATGTACATGTATATGCGCCCCGTCTTTGGTGGGCTCTCGCCATCTAAAGGAACACATTCAGTTGGAAGTTAACGGTACGGAAACGTCTTCAAGATCTTAAAGGACTTTTACAAGGCGTGCGGAAGGATAGAGATTCAGAGTGAAGAACACTGAAAGACTGATTCTGAAGATTTAGAAAAAAGTTCACGAACATTCGAAAGTGTTGCTGAACGTAGGAAAGTGTTGAACACAGGTAAGTGCTCGTATTGTTTGTATTACATTGTATTTCATTATTATTATGTAAGCGATAATAAATTGTTATATTTGGGTACTAACACTTAGGATGAGTGTACAGATTTATTTGTGATTTCATTTTTTGTTTAATACGTTTATTATGCTCCCCATGCCCATCCTGTGGGCCATGTGGTAGATGTATTTGCGTATAATTGTTCGTAGAATGTGGAGTATGTTATACAATATCAGGATATGTATGAGACATTTTTCTTTACCTTATTAGCCGTTTCCCATCAAGATAGGGTGACCCCAAAGAAGGAAATATGTTTACCATCATTCATTCAGTGGCTGTTTTGCTATCACAATTCATATGACCTTCCGAAACGCAACATCCCCATCCATCCTTTAGATATCAGGAGAGACGAGGTGTGGCCAGGAGTTTACGAAATATGTTGGAGAACTAGCTTTAAATATGTAGCATTGTATACAGGTAACGTAATGTGTGTTTAACCTATATAGACCTGTTAGCCAGCGTCACCGCTGTAACCCATCATGTAATGTCCAGTCAGTAACACCCCCGCACCCTAACTTCAGTGAACACAACATAATAATACAAGAAATCCTAGAATAAGTCAATATAACATACACATTTTCACACGTGGACCAAGAACCATTATGGAGGTCACAGTGAGGGATTACTAATGTAAACAAAACTCGCTCATCTATATTTCACCTCATTAACACATCAAAGAAGCAACCTGACTTCCAAAACTTGCCATTGGTTCCTGGTTTGCGGCTATTTTTGTAAGGCATGCGACATTTTTTTTATATATATTGTTGACATAGGTGCACGAGGGAGGAGGGCTACGGGGAGGAGGGCTACGGGAAGGAGGGCTACAGGGAGGAGGGCTACAGGGAGGAGGGCTACGGGGAGGAGGGCTACGGGGAGGAGGGAGAATGATGGGGAGAATGAGGGGAAACGGAGAATAGATGAAAGTAAGGAGGGAGAGTGAGGGGAGAAGAAAGAAAAATCAGTATATTCTGTGTATATACACAGAGATATACCCGTGGAAGCTGAATATTTAATTCATAAGAATAAAAAAAAGCACATACTGTGAGTAGAACAATACACAGAGAACGAACATATAGGAGAATGTAACTTAGACGACGTTTCGGTTCGACTTGGACCATTAACTGTTGTCTAGATAATGGTCCAGTTTGGTCCGAAACGTCGTCATAAGTTTCATTCTCATTGTGTATTTCATACATAACCGTGCCTCTAGGCATTAAGTTAAAAATGCTATCAGATCTTTCTATTGAAAATGGGCCACAGCCTACACCAGCATTCTAAGCTACTTTATCACTCATCAGTAAAGGGTAAAGAGGGAGAAGAGTGACCGCTAAAGGTTAACAGCTGGTATAATGAGTTACTTGGTAACTATACTGTCAGTGGGAGGGACATACCAAGGCAAACTTTATTTTTTATTACTTTAACAGACCACACTGAAAACCTCCTCATGCCGGTGATGGGCTCTTGATCCAAGGAGCTAGGCTTATTCTCCCCTTCTTTGGAACGAATCTAAATTTCTCCATTATTATTATTATAATCAAGGGAGAAGCGCTAAACCCGGAGGATTATACAGCGCCTGGGGGGGGGGATGTGGAAGGCATTCAGGCTTAATTCGGGGAACTGGAGCACAGATCCAATTCCCTAAATCAAGAGCCCCTCACCAACATCAAGGAACCTTCCTTGAGGGGTAAATTTCTCCAACTCCCGGGGCTATGCAACCCCTTCCGGGCTTAGCGCCTACCCCTGATAAAAATAAAAAATAAAAACCACAATTAACTAAGGTGAGGGTAAGGATGTCTGGTATTATTTACAGTCACACATATTAAGCCACAACATGACGGAACAAGATGTGGGCGTGAAGAGCAGTGTGGGAGTAGATGAGGTAGTGGACTCTTGGGAGGTGAGAGCAGAGGAGTTGTTTACACTGTGTGACCAAGAGTGTAAGGGTTTCATCACTAAGAGAGATCTACAGGTTAGTACTGTGCTCTATACCTGTCTACTATTCCTCTACTTGTCTGTCCGCTCTATTTGGCTATCTGCTTGCCGTAGTATCATTAAAACTAATTACGTTAATTCTAGCAAGATTTGACGAGGTTGCTTACTTTTAACACCCCATGTTAGATCCAAGGTGTTCGTGAAGTAGACTAATGGATACTATTATTTATTTCCTAGTTGACTGAGTACTACAATGATCTACTTTTTACACTGACTATAATTATGAAATTTATCGAGCCTCGCTACAGTTTCCATCTCGCACAGCGGGTGGATTTTCGTCAAATAGTACTATACTGTCTGCAGATTTAACAAATAGGAAAGGTCTTTTATATTTTACATAATATAATTAGGATTATTTAATTATTTAGGTATTTTTTTCGTTTGCTTAAGCGTCTATGGGGAGAACTTCCGCTGGATCCGGACGAGTTGGAACGCGTGTTCGATTTCCTGGACCAGGACCACAACGGCTTCCTCTCTCTCCGAGAGTTTACCGATGGCTTCGGTAATGTTACTTTGAGTTTAGTTACGAAGACATAATATGCATTTATGTAACACATAGTTCGGCTTGCTCTGTTTTGTGATGATATTTGATAGGACCCCAATGACAGTAACTCATTATACTAGGTAATTTACACACGTTACTAGGTATGATAATTGATAGGACCCTAATGGCAATAAGTCATTATACTACGTAATTTACACACGATACTAGGTATGATAATTGTACTTGTGTGCACCTGTACCTGGATGCTAGGTGAAGGGATCTTGATCTATGGAATTGGAGCTACTTTTCCTTGAATCAGTCCAGATTACTTCCAGTTTAGCTATATGATCCATGTAAGTTTAGCGCTTCACTAGAATATACATTATTACTAATAATTAATACTGAGATATTTATCTGATTAGTTTCATGTCAGTTAATATGAGTAAGAAGCTGTAAGACTAGTTGATAGTCATGTTACTGTGTCTGGCTTGTGGTGGTTCTCTCTGGGATGACGTGAAGATCCTTTTTGTGTATGATTGACAATAATTACAACTCGCAGCTTCATGGCTAGAGACACTGTACTAAGTTATATCTGAAGTATATGTGCTCAGAAGTAAACACTTAACATCGGAAATAAATTTATTAGTAGGTAATGACTCATTCAGACATTTCAGTAAATAGTATTTGTCGTATACTCTACCACATTTGTTGTGCGATAAACCCCTCATCAGTTAACCTTTCAGGGAAGATGTTTTGATACTGGTGAAGGGAACTAACGATCAGGCTTAATTGCCTACCTGACTCAAGAAATCGTAATGACACGATTGCAAATAAACCATACCCCCGGCCGGGATTGAACCCGCGGTCATAGAAATATACGGTGTAGAAATATACCTAGTTGGATGAATCTTATTGTGGCTAGCTGGTCTAGTGGCTAACGCGACGGGCTGGAGTTTTGAGACTCTATGACCGCGGGTTCAATCCCGGCCGGGGGTATGGTTTAATTGCCTACCATTCCCCGGGCGCAGAATTTCCCTTACGGGTTTAACTTTCCGGTGAAAATAACAATAACTGAAGTTCCTTCTCCTTAGATCAACCCAGATTACCTCCTAGGCACTGTATGAACCTTACGGGTGTAGTGTTTCATATGATTATGATAATCTCGTGAGTTAAGTATTGAGAGGGCGGACTGTGCAGGTTCACACTTGGGTCTGGTGGTGGAGTTCTGTGCCGAGGTGACCTCCAGCAGCGGGTCAGTTGGTGAAGCCAAGGAGCGGCACCTGGACGCAAGCAGCAACAGCACCAACTACCTGGACGTAAACAGCAGCAGCAGCACCAGCCACCTGGACGTAAACAGCAGCAGCAGTAGCACCAGCCACCTGGACGCCATACTCAAGACTCTCTCCGCACACCCCCTCCACTCTGAGTGAGTCACGTTGTTGAATTAGACACATGTGCAACATCTGGGTATCTTTATTTGTGGACGTTTCGCCATACAGTGACTATCAGCACAATACAGGGGCACAAATGGAAGACTGTAGAAGAGGAAGTAATCAGTTCCTAAGCCTCGTAGAATTATATACACAAGAGGGTAGAGGATGAGGTAATCAGTCCCGCAGGCAGGCACTCAGCACCTGTATTGTATTTATAAGTCACTGAATAGTGAAACGTCTACAAATAGATACCCAGATGTTGCATACGTGTCTATTCCATCAACTTGTCAGTGTTTTATATAATTTATACACGAATTACATTGTCTTGCATGGATACTGACAAGTTGTATCTTTCACGGACAGTGATACTTAGGTCTAGTATAATACATCTGGGCTTCTTGTATTTCGTAAACCTGTAAGCCTTAATTTAACTAATTTTTTTTTAAATCCTTTCATATCAGAGAGCTCTCTCGAGCTATACAATGCAAGGTGAGAATTCCCGACTAGTACTGCATATTTTATATTATCCTTACATACGTAGTATATTCGTTCAAAGGGAAGGACCGTGATCCGAGAAACAGGAACTACCCTCCCCTTCCTTGTGTCAAATCTGATTACCTCCCAATCGCCAAGCGTTGTATATCCCCTACGGATCAGACCTGATTATAAGCCCCTCATTCCGTAGGGGCAGTATGATCCTAATGGGTTTAGCGCTTCTTCGTTAAAATATTAAAACTAATATACACGTATATTATCGTATGCTTGCGAAGTTTTGTGACACTGCTGACGTGTTATTCTAGGGAGACTCGTGTTGTAGGCTGTATTGCGTTCAACTTTCTTCCCTGGGGACTTCTAAAACTGCTACCTTCCAGTGTGTTACTACTGTTTGTATGTTATTATTGAGTCTCTTTCACGTTCTCCCATCCTCATCACTTTGTACCCATTAAGGATAAGTTTAATTATCAATTTGTTTAATCCTCCTTGTAGGTGGTCCGCTCATACAACTCCGTGAACCCTTTAGTTTCTGCTCATCAGTTCTGCATCAACTCTCCTCAAGAGTGGTTTCTTGACGCCTGTGAGGAGCCCTTAATATAAGGAATTGAACTTATGTCCCTGTAGATCGAACCTGACTGTTTTCCATTCCCCTAAGGCCTAAGCGCTGTATGGTCCTAACGGGTTTATCGCTTCCTCTCATGAATGTAATAATAATAATTCATCATTTGCTAACATAGACATGTAGGAATGGATACGACGGGCTGGAGAAATATTATGGGTATAGGAACTGATTCTTGTGAAACTCCCCTTGTTACTTCTCCCCAGACAGACTCATTATGACTGACAGTATTTTCTATTTGCCATATACTCTTACTAACCCGTGGAGTGCCTTCCCTGATATTCCAACTTGTTTTCCCAATTTGTAAATTAGTCGCTTGTGAGGCATTAAAAGGTCTTTCTGGCAGTCCAGGAATGTGCAATCCACTCTCCCTTCTCTTCCTTGCTTTACTTCCTTCATCCTTTCATGGAAGCCTGAGCTCTTTGAAGTTCATCTCTACCCTGAACTTACACTGTAGGTTCATCCTAGCTTACCTCTAAAATCGAAAGTTGAGAAATATATGCATACATTTCTTTTCATAGAGTTTGGAATTCTGCATCTCGTGCCATGATAATGCACCTCTGTATGATACACAGGGGGTTAGCGTTTTTAATGTAATATTGATCAACGTAATATTGGTATTACTGGATGGTGGTTGATGCAGCCTGGCGGTGGAGTCTGTATGGGAAGCCGTGTGTGGCGGGTCAGAAGACATCATGGAGGAGAGTAAACTGGAGCAGCTGGTGGCTGCGTTGCTTCACCGACTGTGGCAGCTTAAGGCTGAACACGCACAGCTGGAGGCTGTCCTGGCTACTAAAACTGAACAGTACAATCAGCAGGTCAGTGACCTCTCATTATATCCAAATATGATTTATGAAAACATCCAACGGGAATGGGAAGATTGTTGGCAAAGCTTTTCATAATCGCTAGGGATCCATTATTATTATTATTATTATTATTATTATTATTATTATATTCCCTGGTGAGCAGTAAAGATTTGAGGATCATACAACGCCTGTGGAATGAAATTCAGTTAGATTTGAATCTCGAATAGGTATGTATATTGTGTTTGTGTGGCTCGTACGTTGGATTGCGTGCAGCCAGCAGTAACAGCCTGGTTGATCAGGTCCTGTTCCACCATGAGGCCTGGTCACAGACCGGGCCGCGGGGGCGTTGACCCCCGGAACTCTCTCCAGGTAAACTAAGGAGCTTTTAGCTATTTCAGATGACATTACCTGTAGTCATTCAAAATACCCAGAACTCACCACGTGGAAGTTGCTGCTCTTCGACCCCTCGAGGGAGGGTCCTTGACGCTGGTGAGGGGCTCTTGATCTAGGGAATTGGATCTGTGCTCCAGTTCCCTGAATTGAGCCTGAATACCTTCCATCTCCCACCCCCCACAGGCGCTGTATAATCCCTACGGATTTAGCGCTAACCCATGATTGTAATAATGCTGCCCTTTGAGCTCCGTCATTAGGCTAATTGAGGTAAAAACTGAAAAAGAAACACTTGAATCTTAGTAAATAATGTATACAGAGTGAAGTATAAGTGATGATGGTGTACATGGCCCAGGTGTCCCAGCTGTACGAGGAGCTGGAGACACACATGAGCGGGGAGCAGAAGACAGCAGCTGTGGAACACAGGAACATGGACTCGCAGGCTCTGGCTCAGCTGGAGCAGCAGGTAATGTTGTCACTACTATACTACACTCTTATTTAAACTGAACCCTGGTAGGTAAGACACATAGGCAACAGTTAGGCCATCTTTAGTCGAAACGTTTCGCCTTACACAGTTGGCTTTTCAGGTCGAATACAGACAAGTAGGAGAAACAGTGAGATGTGAAGACGAGTAATTAGGTCCTCACCCTTGAAGTTGTAGAATTTGAGGTTGTCAGTCCCTCAGCCTGGAGAAGTTCAGTTCCATAGTCAGGAACTATCAGATAGTTCCTGACTATGGAACTGAACTTCTCCAGGCTGAGGGACTGACAACCTCAAATTCTACAACTTCAAGGGTGATGGACTGATTACATCGTCTTCACATCTCACTGTTCCTGCCTACTTTCTGTATTCGACTGAAGAAGCCTACTGTGTAGGCGAAACGTTTCGGAATAAAGTTGCCTAACTGTTGCCTGTGTCTTACCTACCAACCTGTCGGTATTGTATACCATTTTGATGTTCAAACTGAACCCTACTGGTGACATTGCTAACACGAGGACATTTTTTTTTTTTTTTTTGGCCTGTTCACAGTTGTCTTTAAAAAAAAAGTATCATAAATTTTAACAATTTGCAGTTAGTCCTCATATTTCATGTTTCCAAGCTGGTCTTCCATGAGGAATTGCCGAAAACTTTTTAGGAAATGCATGTGAAACGTGAATCCGTGGAAGTGAAGCCTGTATATGTGTAAATGAATCCTGAATCCGTGTAAGTGAAACCTGAATCCGTGTAAGTAAAGCCTGAATCTGTTTCGTTCTGGTTCATTTCCGTGACTCATCTTTTGAGTTTACGGTATAAGATGGTACACAGGTTATGATCTTAACCTCAGGTGAAAGAGAGTGAGATGGTCCTGCGATCCATGGAGGAGCAGCAGCAGTCACTGCAGCAACAACTGGCCCACATAACCGCTACTGAAACAGCAACACGGCAAGACAACACCTACCTCTCTAAGCATGTGGTCAGTCCTCACATACCTTTCTTGGTCCAGTCGATATAAAAATATGAGGGTGTATTACACAGGTGTGTATATCTGTATATACAGACGTGTCTGTATCTATACACAGGTGTGTGTATATATATACACAGGTGTGTATATACACAGGTGTATATCTGTGTATGTATACAGGTGTATATCTATATACACAGAAGTGTGTATATACACTGAGAAATTTACCTGTTTTTTGGAATTAAATTATGCTTCGTGTTTTTTGCTACCTTATTCTGTATTATAGTTACATAGTGGGAGCAAAAGAGGCTATGTTTCCATGTCATATTCCATCAAATAGGATGGGTTACATAGTGTTGAAATCTGTCAGCTTGAGCTGAGACTTCAGAAAGGCAGTGAGAATCCCGTCAAGTGTTAGAATTGCAGTTTTAACAACTCATCTGCACTCGATAAGCCATAACTAACATTTTTTATGAATCTGGGACTGGCTGCAACTAAGTTTCGAACTGCTATGTTAGTGTGGCTCAAGTGACAACAGCATTAGGGTTGTGTGACTGGATTATGTTTGAGAGGTTCACTGATGTATCCACAGGAGCGTCTAGAAGAGGATTTAGCCAGGAAAGACGCAGAGTTGCTCCAGTTGACCACAGCTCTGGAGTCACTCAAGAAAAACACCAAGAATGAGAAGATACGACGGGCTCGACAAGCTTTTAATGTAAGGTTTAGTTTATTTTTTTTATTATCACACTGGCCGATTCCCACCAAGGCAGGGTGGCCCGAAAAAGAAAAACTTTCACCATCATTCAATCCATCACTGTCTTGCCAGAAGGGTGCTTTACAGTGCAGACACTGTACTTCCCATCTCCAGGACTCAAGTCCGGCCTGCCGGTTTCCCTGAACCCCTTCATAAATGTTACTTTGCTCACACTCCAACAGCACATCAAGTATTAAAAGCCATTTGTCTCCATTCACTCCTATCAAACACGCTCACGCATGCCTGCTGGAAGTCCATGCCCCTCGCACACAAAACCTTTACCCCCTCCCTCCAACCTTTCCTAGGCCGACCCTACCCCGCCTTCCTTCCACTACAGACTGATACACTCTTGAAGTCATTCTGTTTCGCTCCATTCTCTCTACATGTCCGAACCACCTCAACAACCCTTCCTCAGCCCTCTGGACAACAGTTTTGGTAACCCCGCAGCTCCTCCTAACTTCCAAACTACGAATTCTCTGCATTATATTCACACCACACATTGCCCTCAGACATGACATCTCCACTGCCTCCAGCCTTCTCCTAGCTGCAACAATCATCACCCATGCATCACACCCATATAAGAGCGTTGGTAAAACTATACTCTCATACATTCCCCTCTTTGCCTCCAAGGACAAAGTTCTTTGTCTCCACAGACTCCTAAGTGCACCGCTCACCCTTTTCCCCTCATCAATTCTATGATTCACCTCATCTTTCATAGACCCATCCGCTGACACGTCCACTCCCAAATATCTGAATACATTCACCTCCTCCATACTCTCTCCCTCCAATCTTTCATCACCTCATCTTTTTGTTATCCTCATAACCTAACTCTTTCCTGTATTCACTTTTAATTTTCTTCTTTTGCACACCCTACCAAATTCATCCACCAACCTCTGCAACTTCTCTTCAGAATCTCCCAAGAGCAGTGTCATCAGCAAAGAGCAACTATGACAACTCCCACTTTATGTGTGATTCTTTATCTTTTAACTCCACGCCTCTTGTCAAGACCCTCACATTTACTTCTCTTACAACCCCATCTATAAATATATTAAACAACCACGGTGACATCACACATCCTTATCTAAGGCCTAATTTTACTGGGAAATAATCTCCCTCTTTCGTACATACTCTAACTTGAGCCTCACTATCCTCGTAAAAACTCTTCACTGCTTTCAGTAACCTACCTCCTACACCATACATCTGCCACATTGCCCCCCTATCCACCCTGCCATACGCCTTTTCCATATCCATAAAGGCCACAAAAACATGTTTAGCCTTATCTAAATACTGTTCAATTATATGTTTCACTGTAAACACCTGGTCCACACATCCCCTACGTTTCCGAAAGCCTCCTTGTTCATCTGCTATCCTACTATCCATCCTACTCTTAATTCTTTCAATAATAACTCTACCATACACTTTACCAGGTATACTCAACAGACTTATCCCCCTATAATTTTTGCACTCTCTTTTGTCCCCTTTGCCTTTATACAAAGGAACTAGGCATGCTCTCTGTCAATCCCTAGGTACCTTACCCTCTTCCATACATTTATTAAATAATTGCACCAACCACTCCAAAACTATATCCCCACCTGCTTTTAACATTTCTATCTTTATCCCATTAATCCCGGCTGCCTTACCCCCTTTCATTTTACCTACTGCCTCACGAACTTCCCGCACACTCACAAATGGCTCTTCCTCACTCCTACAAGATGTTATTCCTCCTTGCCCTATACACGAAATCACAGCTTCCCTATCTTCATCAACATTTAACAATTCCTCAAAATATTCCTTCCATCTTGCCAATACCTCTAACTCTCCATTTAATAACTCTCCTCTCCTATTTTTAACTGACAAATCCATTTGTTCTCTAGGCTTCCTTAACTTGTTAATCTCACTCCAAAACTTTTTCTTATTTTCAACAAAATTTGTTGATAACATCTCACCCACTCTCTCATTTGCTCTCTTTTTACATTACTTCACCACTCTCTTAACCTCTCTTTTTCTCCATATACTCTTCGCTCCTTGCTTCACTTCTACTTTGTAAAAACTTCTATATGCTAAACTTTTCTCCCTTACTCCCCTTTTTTAAATCATCATTCCACCAATGCTCCTTTCCCCCTGCACCCACAAATTCTGTGAACACCAACACTACATTTTTAAACCTCCCCCATACCCTTCGACCCTAATGCCTATGCCCTTAGCCCATCTACCTCCAATAGCTTTTTATATCTTACCCTAACTGCCTCCTCTTTTAGTTTAAAACCTTACCTCTCTTTTTCCCTGATGTTTCTATTCCCTTGTATCCATCCCCTTTTCCCCTCTCGTGTAGCTACAACTAAAAAGTGATCTGATTATCTGTGGCCCCTTATAAAACATGTACATCGTGAAGTTACCAACAGTCTTTTATCTCCAATAATAATCAAAAACTATGCATTTCGCCCTAATCATATCTTGTTACTTTTTTATCCTCTTTCCTTTTTAAAAAATGTATTTCCTTAACTAAAACCCCTTTTTTACAAAATTTAATCAAAGGGCCCATTTTCATTTACCCTGGCACCCCAAAAATTTTCCCCCCCCCCCCTCTCTAAAAGTTTCCCTACTTTAGCATTCGGTCCCCTACCCAATTTCTCTCTCACTTGGTTCAAAGGTTTTTGTACTTTTCTTAACATCTCCCCAAAAATTTTCTCTCCTCCCCTACATCCTCTCTTCTCCAGGAATACACGCTTATTATGACCCACTTTTCGCATCCAACCTTTTCTTTAATCCAATAAAATTTTTGAATTACACATTATATTTTTCCTTTTTTTTCCTTTCCCTAATGATCCTTCAACATTACGCTACCCCCTTTCCCTTTGTCTAACTCTCTCAGATACTCCCGATTAATCCCTTTATTTCCCCCCACCGAAAATCCCCCACCCCCTTCAGCTTTGTTTCGCTTAGGGCCAGGAATCCAACTTTTCATTCATAAAAAATCGCAATCATCTGTTTCTTGCATCCGCATACATCCACGCCATTCAAGATCCCCGTTTTATAAGTTTTTCTTCTCTTTTTTTAGTTTAGTTTAAAACGTTTTTTAGCCCCATACCCATCCTGGGGGCGGTAGTCAAAAGATTACAGAGGAAATAATTGGCCGGGGACTGGACTCCAAAGTTTTGATAGCGGAAAGTTAAAGAGGTAATGAACTCACGTTTACATGGGAAATAATCACAATTTACAAAGGAAATGAACTCCGGGTAGGTCGGGTCCAATCAGACAACGGGAATTTATTTCCCCCCCTTATGGATTACTTTCAGGGGAGTCTCAGATAGGACATTTTCTGGATTCACTTTATCAATTGTAGAACCCAAAGCTCTAAAAATTTTTTCAAAATTTTGGGCTTCTGGTGGAGGCCAATTTCCTCCCAAAATCTTCGTCTAATTAAAATTTCTGAAAAAAAAAATTTTTGTCTAGTTTACAATTTTCGAAAAAAGTTCAAATTTTAATTCTTTTTGGGTTTTGAATTTATAAAGTTTTCAAACGTTGCAAGGTAAAAGTTTTTAAATTTAGACACATGTCAACTCTTAGGTATCTTTATGAGGAAACTTTTCCCCACACAGTGGCTTCATCAGTCCTAAAAGGATAAACTTGAAGAACAGGGGGAGAAGGGAAATTTTAAAAACTTTTCGGTTCTCTGACCCATTATTACAGCCTGTCAGACACTAAAACTTCTTGGGACTTAAACGGGAATTCATCGCTGCTTAACCCTTGGCACGACCTACTTCCCACTTGGAAAATTTACACCCCCACGACTGCTGCACCTCTCCTGCCATACTTTTTTTATAAGCGCTTCTCTGCTCAAAGCGTATTCTTTTCAGATTGAGGACGACCACTGACTCAAGGTTAAGGGACGATTACCTCATTCTCCTCCTGTTTTTAAAGATTATCCTTTGTAGGGACTGGTGAAGCCACTGTGGGGCAAACTTTCCTCAATAAAGATACCCAAGAGTTGCACATGTGTCAATATAACAATAGTCGGTTCTCTGAACCATTCACTACAAAGGAAAAATAGTTCATTATACATGTTTAAATTTTTTAAATGAAAAAAATGCGTTAAAATTCCCCACGATCCCTTTAAAACTGGGGTTTTTCGCTTTTTCATTGTTTACTGTGTGATTGGGGTGGTGAGGGTATACCCCGCGAAAGGGATGTCGGTGACCCAGCTTACCTGCTGCAACTATCACACCAACTGAGGGACGAGCATGACCCAAGACACTCTCTCACGTACAGGTCATAGTTTTTTCCCCCTCCCTTAAATTTCGTCCATTACTTGTAATATAACCCGGGGGCGTTATCTGTTATTAAGGATGACACAGGGCAATTAAAAAATTAAACGTGTAAATTATCTGCAGAAAACGCCTGTCCTTAATTTCGTTAATCTTGAGCCTTACACCTCATCACTTATTATTGTTGGGGTATAGAAGTAGTAGTAAATTAATAGTACTACTAATTTTAAAGATTAGTAAATTAACGTTTCTTCTTAATGATATAGTTCCCCCTAAAGGACGGTTTCTTGATGCTATGATGGCTCTTGTTCCAAGGAATGACTGTCTCCATGGATCAATCTGAATGTCTCCCCCCTTTCCAGGCGCTAGATGACCCTTTTGGGTCCAAATTCAAAAATTTTAGAGGATTTTGGGAGTGGAAGGAAAACCCTTTATGGCGTGGCCAGTAAATTTTCTTCAGTGATTTTTTTTCTTTTTGTGCACCAACATGTTTGTATATAAAAGTTCCTTCTCGAAAATAGATTTGCAGTGGGCCTCAGAGGGTCTCGGGAGACGAAGTTATTTTCTTTATTTCTGTCCTCTGTAGTGGGGTTTCTTTAAAATTTTTCCCAACGGGCGTGTAAGGTTATAAAAAAAATAAAAGAAACAATATAAAAAAAAAAAAATTCGAGGCCGTCTCCCGCCAAGGCAAGGGACCCAAGAAGAAAAAACGTTCACCCTCTTCCCGAAATGTTTTAAACACAGTCAATTACTTTCCGATGCAACATCCCCACCCCCCCTTTAAAGTGAGGCACTGCCCTTTCCCCTTACAGGGTTCTTAGTCCAATTAACTGGGTTCCCTGAATCCCTTAAGGGACCCCCCTCTCACTCACAAGTAAATAAAAAACCCTTCACTCCATTCACTTTTTTCTTTCGTTTTAAGCATGCTGAATGCCAAACCCTGGAAACCCAAAACCCCTTTCCCCCGCCCCCCTCCATCCACCATTCCAGAGACGACCCCCTCCCCCCCCACTTCTGCCCCAATTTATACACTTTTGCCCAAATTAAGATACCTGCCCTCCTCTCTAATTTGGTATTAAAATTTTGGCGTAAGATTATTCAAAAAAGGTTTGTTTCATCGGGTAAACTGTGATATGATTGGGGAAAACTCCCAGAGGTTATAAGACATTAAATCCAATTTGGTTTTTTTGTGTTTTCTCTGGGTTTTCAGGGTTTTAGGGTAACCTTGGCCCTCCAGCCCCACCACCATCCAGGGCCGGGCCCTCAGCACTTCCCTTATCTAACGTTTAACCCACGCCCCTGAGGACCTTCTCAAACTAAACCCCCACCTGCCACTACCTCTCCGCCCTCCTAACACCTCAGAAATGGCAAAAAGGGACTGGCACCATCCTAAAATCCCCCCCACAATATACCCCGGGAGAAGTTGGGCTCAATACAACTTTTTTGGGAGATATACAGTAACCCAGAGGTATAACTTGTATACACAAAAATTTTAAATTAAATCATGAGTTTAGTGATTAAAAGTGTTCTTGACTGGTGAACAATTAACATGCAGCCTTAATGACACGTGTGTAGTAGATAGGCTTTAAACTCCATCAACCAACCAACCATTTTTCAGTGGTAATATTTATTACTTAAGATAACCTTAAATATCTTTCCCTTCATGTAACGGAAGTGGTGTCTTGATGCTTGTGATGGTCTCTACCTCAAAGTAATTGAAGCTATTCACTGAATCAAATTTGTGATGACTTATGGGTTAGGCAGTGTCCTATGTAATAAGTGAACCCACATCATGAATATCTTTCCTGGCAGTTGGACTCCTGGTGATGGACGAGGTGGTGAGTGTGAGCATGATGAAGAGTACTTCAAG